AGACTCTTTTGCCTCAAGACGTCAACGGAAGGAAAAAAAAAAAAAAAAAGGATTTGAAAATGGAAGTTCTTGACATTGTTTTCCTTTCAAATGTACATAAACACGTCGTTTTTTCTGTCTCATAGCCCACAGTTTTTTCTTCACTTTGCCCACTCTGTAGCTACCGATGAGACTCTTTTGCCTCAAGACGTCAACGGAAGGAAACCAAAAGCAAGGTCACGGCATCTGCATAAGATTCTCTCTACACATTGCTGCTGGATGGGAAAATAGCTTTTAAAGAAAAGTAGGTTCCATCTCAGACTCTCACCACCCCTTGTTCGGCAGTTCGCGAATCCAATGCTGGCGCTAAGGTGACGGCGTATTTAAGGAGCCCTGGGAGAAGGTGGTATTTATTGATTTCTCTTCAAGAGTTATCCAACGGCTCATGCTCTCCAAGCCTGCACTCTCTCGATCGGCCCTCCTCATAAGGCTGGCTGTCTTCAGGGTGCTCACAGCTCCTCCCAGCAACCCCTTCTTGCAGCACCACGCGGCAGGCAGCGAGCGAGCGTGGCCCAGCCCTGCACTTCACTGTACTGCGGGCCGATTGCCTGACTGACGACAAGTGCTCGGCTACTGGCACCGCAAAACCAGTGGAGCTGGGTTCTGAGCGCATCTTTTGTGCAGTTCCTTTATTTCATCATTTCTTCCGCTCACTTTCCTACTCTACCTCTACGTCCAAGAGCAAGTTCCAGAGTCTCTGGTGATGTGCCTCTTGTCTGTTCCTTCCTTTCCTGTCTTTTTTTTTTCTGTTTTCCTCACATCGGGTGTCCTTGCTGTGGTCCCCGCAGCTCACCTAGTCTTGCTCATTCGCGCAGTGTGTCCACTGTAGTCCTCAGATGGTGGGGACATCCAGGTGGGATACGCTCAAGCTCATACTTTGGCTCTCATCCACTTGCTTTAATTTTCTTCTGCTTCAACCTGAACTTGCATATGAGCAAATGATGGTCTGGCTCCATATCCTAATGAATGATAGTGAGCTCCTCCATCATCTCTTTCCACAGAGGTAGTCTTACCTAAACTTGGGGATTATCCAGAGGAGTTCACACGTGGGATACTTATTGCAACTAACAAAATGCCAAGGTCATCCAACTCTTCCTCGTCAGAGTCAAGTTTTATAATTTGTGGATTTTTTAAAACATATATACAGATGTGTTACAATATAATTGTATTTTAATTCCATCCTCTTCTTATGACGTTTTCTGTGTCATTCAATACTTTGGTTTTAAACCCCAAAGACAAATAATAAGGATCAGACCGATAAAGATACTGATCATAAAAAGAATAATGATAATAACTAGGGGGGGAAAGAGGCATTGGACTGACATCACAAGCAACTCATGACAGTCACCAGAACAGAGCCCTGTGGCCAGTGGGGAGCGAGCTGAATTCATATTCACTATGTGGACCTCTCAGTAGGGGAGTTTCCAACTCCTGTGGCCTCAGAGGAAACCCCCTGACCTCTGCTTTGAGGGCGCCCCATTCCTGGGAAGCTGCCTCTCGCATTCTGAGGAGCATCCACCCCAAGGCATCCTCTTCTCTGCCAACTATGGGAACAGTGGCTTCAGAAGATGAGCCTGGAAGAACAGCTCTGGGTCCTGGGTTCAAATCCCAGTTCTGTCGATTCAGCTCTGTGTCCTTGGGCAGTGACCCACCTTCCCTGTGTCTCTGGTGATAAAAGGTCCGAGAGGGTGCTGGGGGACTAGAGGTGGAGCTGAGGAGTGAGTGTAAAGGACTCCCAGAAGAGGGATGGCACTTGTTCCCCTCATGAGGCTTGGCCAGAAGGCCTGGCCAGAGACACACCTGCACTGCCATCACGGTGTTAAAAGACACAGGCAGGGTCAAGTGTGGAAAGAAGGTGTCCCTGCTCTGGGCCCAAAAAAGCCCTTCAGAGGCCAGCACCAGCCAGCTAGGAAGAGTGTTTGTCACCCCCACTCCTGAGCCTTCAACAGTTCTCTTCTGGGGACCAGCAGCCCTGGAACTTCTCAGCCTCCTGCCCCCCCACCCCCACCCCCACTCTCAGAGAAGGGTGTCGAGCAGAGGCTCCGAGCCAGGTTCTGAGCCCAATTCGGGAATGTTGGTTCAGACCTTCCTCTTGCCTAGCAGGGGACCCAACGTGGACCATACAGATAACCACACCCACCTAGTTGGGGGCCTGTGCCATGGACGGTGCCAGTCCTTCGGTGTCTGGGTGATGGGGAACCTGGCAGCAGATGGTGCAGCACCGCATGACAAATGCCACTGCTACAGAATTGTCAATAACATGTTGAAATGGCATGTGTTTTGTTAGACAGGGAGTCCTGGACTTAACAGCATACTCAAGTTACGACCAATCCCACCAACAACCATCTGAGTGGTTTTGTTGTTTTTTCACTTAACATCTCATTGTTAGTGCAGGATCCCTGGTGGTCCAGTGGTTACGAGTTAGGCTGCTATCCACAAGGTCCACAGTTCGAAACCACCAGCCTACTCCTGGAAACAGTGAGTCTCAGAAACCCACGGAGCAGCGCTACCCTGTGCTAGGGTCACGAGAGTCGGAATCGACTCCCCGGCAAAGAGTTTGGTTGGTTTGGGTTTATTGTTAGTACAGTTACCGTTCTCACATGTTCAATTTCATGGTTTACTATTCAAAAGGAACTGATGTAAAAAAAGGTAAAGGAACGGATAATAAAAGACAATAATAATGAAAACTAAAAAGAAGTATTCGACTTACAGCAGAGCAGTCGGAACAGAACAGCCTGTTACTGCAGGTACAGATACTTACTACAATTAAAAATAATCATCTCCGGAGACAGAGCTCACAGAGACACGTCGTACAAGGTCATGCACAGAGACTGGGTCCTAAATGCTAGAGTAGCCATCTAAGGCACAACTATCGGCCTCTTCCTGACCGGAGAGAAGAATGAAGAAAATCAAAGATTCAGGGAAACAAATGTTCAAAGAACTAAGGGACCACAGGAACCACACCCTGCCAAGCCATCAGCACTGGCCCCAAAGCCAAGCTCAAGGGGCTGGAAAGGCGGGAGGCAGAGGACGGGGGAAGAGTGCTGCTCCATCCAGCTCATGAAACCAAACAGAATGTGTCTAAACTGCTGACCGGGAAATTAGCTTGCTCTGCACACTTTCACCCAAGCCATCAATAATAAACCGCAGCCACCTCTTAGGGGTGACATGAAGGATACGTGAGTTTGGAAACACTGAATGGTTAGTAAATGAAGCAATTCATCTCCCCACACCCCTCCTCCTTTCTTGGCAGTCCTGGGCAGTCCTTTCCCACTGACTCACGGGTCTGCCCTCTTTCGCCCGGGCAGCCTCAGATCTGGCTGCCCATCTCCCAGAGAGCCTCCAGCAGGCCTGCTCACCTGCCCATGCGCCCGGCGCCTATCCTCCCCACAGCCACCAGAGGGTGCTTTCTGAAAGCGGCTGGGTTTGCAGGAGCACAGAAGAAAATCAACCCTCCTTCACAGGTGGTCCCAACCTAACCCAGGCCCACCACTCAAGACCCCACATCCATGCCAACCTATTACCCACTAACCAGGCTTGGTTCTACACACACACACACACACACACACACTCCAACCCCCCACCCCCCCATCTGGGATTCAGTCAGCCCAGAGGAGAGAGATCCCGCCCTGCGGGTAGGTTAGCTGAGACCTCACCCCCACCCCCAGGTACACAGAGGCCATGGGCAGCAGCAAGCTCCAACCCACCTGTTCACTAGCCACAGCAGGGACCTCAGGGCTAGAGGGATGACAGGAGAGGGCAGGTGCCACAATGCTGCAGCCCTGAACATCTGAAAACAGAAAGCGTCCTCCCCCGGCCTGTGCCAGTTTCAGCTTCGTGAGGAGAGAGGGGAACTGCAGGTGCTGTCACTGCCCCCCACCCCCACCCCCGCCTCATGCCAGGGTCTGCTAGACCTTCCTTAGGCCAGGGACAGGAAACACACAGGGCACTCCCCAAGGCCCACGGCTGGAAGAGAAGCGAGACTGCCGGCATCTCTGCCCGCAGCCCCCGGGAAAAATAAGGTGCCACTGGCTTGGGCGTGGGAAGCGTCTGGTCAGAGCTGGGGGCCAATGGACGGGGAGTGGAGAGGCTAAAACTCCGGAATAGAGGGACATGTGCTGGAGGCAGGCTCTCAGCTTACTCTCCCAGCGGTCTCCTCAACGCTGAGACAAACCAACGTCAGCCGCAGGGATCTGGCCAAGGTCTGGCTGGGCCGGACCTTCTGAAAACCCTCCGGGTTCCAGGCCGGCGCCCTCAGGACTCCCTCCCTGACCCTTCGCCCTGGTGCAAGTGCTGCGCAGCTGGGGAGCCCCGGCCGTCCCCCAGCCTCTGGGGGTCCTAGGCAGGGGTGGGAGAGGCGACCCAGACACTTACCCCGCTCTGGCTGTTACAATGGCGGGTGCTGATGATGGCTCCCGCCTCCTCAATCATCTTCAGGATGGTCCCTCCGTGGACGTTGCCCGCGACGTTGGCATCATCCGGCCGCATGATCCTAGGACAGAGGGGAGGCGCAGGGTGATGCCTCACACAACGGATGTTCCCAAGGAAAGGAACCCTTCCTCCCCCGGGAAGGGCTGAGGACCCCAGATGAAGGAAAAGGAATCGCCCTGCTTCCACGGGCTGGAGACGGCAGCATCCTCCTCCTGACGCCAGCCGCAGGGAAGAGCTGAGGGCCGAGGTCTGCCCTCAGTAGAGCTGACCAGTGGCAACTCAGTGGCCTATGTCCCAGGGGTCCCATCACATCATCATCCAACTGTTCCCAGGCTGGCACAGGCCAGGCTCACCAACCCCAGCTGGACAGGCTGGGAGCCCCTGGGGTGTGAACCAGCAGATTGCTAGAACTTTCCATTCCTAAAATCTCATCAGGAGTCCAAGCAAAGCGGCCGCCTCAGTTCTGGGAATTGGGAACAACCATGGCCGCTTCAGGACCTCTGGGACACCTGGGCCAGCAGCTCCCAGCTCTCTATCAGCAGTCAACGCACCCCTCCCCGGTGGCTCCCATGTGGTTCCCAGCTCTCTTGGGAGTACCCCAAGGAGTGCTGATCCCCTGGGGTATGAGTAGAGAGCCCTCCAAGAAGCATGGGAGAGGAGCAGGGGGTGTAACCGCAAGCACAGCCAAGGGCAGACGGCAGTGGGAGTTTCAATGAGAGCCTTGGAATTCCAGCCTGTAGGCATGCCACACCCATGTAGGCAGCTAGCTCTGAAGAGCCTGGCACTTTACCGGATAGCTGCCTGGCTAATTAAATCCGCCCAAGCTAGCTGCAGGCCTGGCAGTCAGGTGACTGGTCCTGGGAGCATGCCCAGGGTTCCGACATGCCAGGCACCTGCCCACAGCTGTACCCAGCATACCTTGGCACCAGCTAGCCTGTGTGTGCCTCTGGGGCTGGTACCCACGCCCCTGGGCTGATAAGCCTTACAGTCTTCCTGGTCTGTCTGACATCTCCTAACCGCCCCCCCCCCTTTTAATAGCTCGGGGACTCAGCCAGTCTGACTCTGAAATCAATCAAACCCTGGCTCCAGCTCTTCATAGCTGTGTGCCTGAGCATGATGCCCAAACCTTTGGCCCTCCGTTTGCATTCATTATAAAATGGGCACAGTAATGGCGTCATCAGCCTAACTGTGGGAAGGTCTGAGTAAGATGCACTATTGAGAAATAAATGGAAGCTGTGGGTGGTTTCATTCTACTTGGAATAATAACTATCAAAGGCCATGGGGGTAGCAGTCAGGGAACCCAACCGCGTATTTCAGTCCAGTTTTAAAAGCAAAGTTGTCACGTGGATGCATGAGGCGCACCTGGCCCTGGTTCCTCAAATGCCTGGGACCATTGCACAGGGAGGAAAGGAAGACCCAGGAAGAATTGATCGATGCACTTGAACTGCAGTGTGGATGAAGCACGCGGTCTATCCTGCGGACTGCCAGGAGACTGCATGTCCCTTAGAAGCGAAGATGGCAGATGGATGTAAGCACTCAAGTGTCAGACCAATAGATACAATAAGCCATGGTGTGTGGTAAAGGAGGGAAAACAGGGGATGCCTTCCATGAGAGGGGCTGACACAAGAGCCATCCTGATGGCCTCAAGCACACCAGCAAGCAGGAAGGTGGCACAGGACCAGGCAATGTTCCATTCTGCTGTATGTGGGATGGCCGGGAGTCAAAGCCGACTGGCTGGCACCCACGACCACAGGAGGATGAGACCAGCAGTCGTGGCAGGTACTCAATAAACATGGCTCACAGGCGTCTCCCTTCTTCTGAAGTTGCAGCCCATTGACTACAAGGAGGCTGGACATTGAGGACCCTACTGTTTCTCAGAGCCAGTAAGCATGCCCAGGCCATGCCCACCCCCAAAGAGCAGCCCTGCACTGCAGTGAGAAGCACCCGCACGGGCCACAGCTTTTCAGGCCAACGGCCCCAACAGGCAGGATCCCAAGGTCTCTGCAAACAGCTCTGAGGCAGCAGGGCCACAGTGACACCGGAATGGTTAGCAAGGGATAGACCACAGGCCCAGGGGCCAGCACAGGGACCACTTTGGCTTGACTTCTCAAACTTCATTTCAAAATACTTTTGCGTTTTTGAAAAATTGAGTTTTCCTAATTCAGTGTTGCTCAAAAGTTGAAGTACAGAGGAAACCGATTCAAAGAGCAAAACTATTGCATCGATTTAGTTGTTTCTTAACTGGAGGGTTTTCAGCTGAGTGAGGAGGGATTTGTCCTGAGCGGGGCTGGGCAGGAGTCCTCTGTGCAGGGCAGAGGCTCAGGCTATGGGCAGTGTGTCTGGACTGGAGACTCAGATCCCAGAGCAGTCCAGAAACGGCAGCCCTGCCCTGCCCGGGAGCACCGTGGACCGCCTCTGTGAACTTCGCTGGGCATAGCAGGGCTATCCTGTCAGGCTGGTCCTGGGCGACATGCTCTGGGAGGGAGTGCTGGCATCCAGTGGGCAGGGAGGAGGGCAGATAAGGAGGCAGCGTGAGACAGCAACTAGTGCCACCTGACACTGGGGTTGAAAATGAGGAGCTGATGGCCCAGCCCCTGGACTCTGAACCTTCCACACCTGGAGACGGACATGGGACTTTTTCCTTGGTGAGAAAGCACCGGGCATGCTCTCTGCCCCTAGGGCCCCCTGCTCGGAGGCCCCTGCACCCACTGTCCTGGGGACCGAACTTCTCAGCACCGGTTCTCGGGAGGCCATGGTTTGTTGATGGTGAGAGCCATAGCTCTTGCTGCATCTTGACATCAATTCATTTTCCACTTACATTCTTTCGGACACTCGCCAGCAACGTGGCAGAAGCGTTGCCCTCGGACAAGGCGTGTGTGAAAGAAGCTATGACGGTCCTAACATTGGTAAAGCGGGACACCATTGATAAAACTAATATCCTGGCGAAATAGCCACATGGCAGCCGAAAACCGTATACCCTAGCTTGCCGTGCATTCCCAAAAATCGGGACTTTTTTTAAACACCGCGAGACGCGGGAAAAATTGTTAAAAATCGGGACTGTCCCACCAAAAGCGGGATGTCTGGTCACCTTACCCTAGCCAGCCCACAGAAGAGCCGTGAGAGAAAATGAGGTGATCTGCTCCGATAAGCAGTCTCAGAAACTCCAGTGAGGGTCCCTGATTGGAGCCAATTGGAAGGAAGTGGGTTTGGTGGATTGGTTTCTAGCCCTCGGGAGCTTACTTGGGTGGGCCCTTAATGAAGTTGGGGTATTGGGCTCTGCATGGTCATGAGGTGTAGGTCCACCGGTAAGTGGCCAGGCAACTCTTCCTCAGTGCACTTTCCCTAGAGTGTGCCTCCCCCTCAGCCTGGCCAAGGCCCCCCAGGGTCCTAAATACTGTCACTCATCTTTGGATGGGCAGGTGTGCAGAATGAAGGTCTTAAAAAAAAAAAAGAAAGAAAGAATTCTAAGAACAGTTTCACGGTTGCAGCAGTATATTGACAAAGAGCTGCTAGAAGTTCAGGCCCGATTCAGAAGAGGACAAAGACCAAGGGATATCATTGCTGATGTCAGAGGGATCTTGGCGTAAAGCAGAGAAAATCTGAAAAATGCTTACTTGTATGCAAAGGCATTCGACTGTGTGGACCATAAAAAACTCTGGATAGCCTTGAGAAGAATGGGAATTCCAGAACACTTCACTGTGCTCCTGCAGAACTTATACAAACAGAACAAGGGAGGACTCCATGGTTTAAAATCAGGAAATGCGTGCGACAAGGTTGTGTCTTCTCATCACACTTGGTCCATCTGTATGCTGAGCAAATCATCAGAGAAGTTGGATCATATGCAGACAAATGTGGCATCAGGATTGGAGGAAAGCATAGTGCGCCTGTGATAACAGGTGACACAACCTTACTTGCTGAAGTCAAGGAAGATTCGCAGCACTTGCTGATGAAGGTCAAGGATTGCAGACTTCAGTATGCATTACAACTCAATGTAAGGAAGACCAAACGTTGTACAACTAGACCAATAAGTAACATTGTGAAATGGAGCAGAGGGTGAAGTTGTCAAGGCTTTTGTCTTTCTTGGATCCACAACCAACGCTCAATGGAAGCAGCAGTCAGGAGATGAAAGGGCATGTTGTATTAGGTCAGCCTGTTGCACAGACCTCCTCAGACAAGGCTGTCACTTCGAGGACTACGGTGCGCCTGACGCGAGCCATGGCGTTTTCCATCGCCTCTTATGCAGTGAAAGTTGGACATTAAGGAAGACCATAGAAAATGGGTGCAGTTGAATTGTGGTGCTGGAGAAGAATATCAGAAGTTCCAGTGACTGTCAAAAAGGCAAACCAAATGGATGGATGGATGGGTTGTGATAAGAGTTGTACGAGCCCCCAATAAAGTGATTAAAAAAAAAGAAATAGTAGTAGTAAATCCAACATGCTCCTTAGAGGCAAGATGGTAAGACTTTTTCTTCTATACATTGGATATGTTGTCAGGAGAGAGCAGTCCCAAGAGAAGGCCGTCATGCTGGGTAAAGTAGGGGCACTGAAGAAGAGGAAGCCCCTCGACGAGATGGATTGACACAATGGCTGCAACAATGGGCTCAGACATAGGAACCATTGTGAGGATGCCCGTGTTTCGTTCCATTGTACACAGGGTTGCTATGGGTCGGAACCAACTCGATGGCACCAAACAATAATGAACTCACTGCCATCGAGTCGATTCTGACTCATAGTGACCATATAGGAGAGGGTAGAAATGTCCCTGTGGGTTTCCACAACAGGTACTCTCCGTGGCACTAGAGAGCCTCGTCTTTCTCTCATGGAGTGGCTGACGTTTTCAAATGGCTGACCTCGCAGTTGGCCTTATGAGGTGCTTCCCTATCGATTAAAAAGAACAGAAAGCAGCAAAGAAGGCTGAGTGCCAACAGGACCGCCATTCCCTCCCAGAGCCACCTGGAACAAAAAGTGGCCTGGCAGGAACTTGGGGCCAGGTGCCAAAGCTTCGGGCTGGAGCTTGTTTCCACTTACCGTGGTCCAGCCTGGGTATATGGCACAGACTGGG